GTTCTTAGTGCAATGAAAGGGAGCAAAGTTCTGCCAGCAATATCTATCCTCCAAGGAGCCCTGTATGTAATTTCTGGAATGTACTGAATACCAATATGAGTAATAGTTCAATGTTGTTATTTTCTTTACAATCATAATAAGGCAGGTTAGACCTGTTTCCAAGTATACAATAACCTAAAACTGAAACAGGTAGGATTTTCCACTGTCATTGCCCCACTAACAGTCTTACCAATCTTCTGCATAAGAAAAAATGCTCTGGGAGAGATGGGGTCATAGTGACCACAAATAAAAACTACCCATTTTATTTCTTACGGACTGGGTTCAAAGTAATCCTTTCATGATCTAAAAGTGGCATATGTACGTGCTAGATGGGTGACTCTTTTGCTTGGTACCCTGAAGACTCCTGAGATCTACTACTACATTATTCTGGACAGTTATCTGAATGCAAGCAGGGGAATCAGCCCCTCAAATTTCCAGGAGGCCTATATCCTTCCAAGTTCATACTTAATTCTCATCCTGTCCTTTTTACTAAGAGTTGTTTAACCATGATTGTATTACTCTGTCTTGTAGGGGACGGTAATACAAGTATTACATCTAAGTGATTTCTGCAAATAAAAAAAAATACAACCACTACTCACACATATTATTTTTTCTGTCACTCTTTTTCTTACAACATATGTCTCTACACTGTTTATCTTGTGGCCTGAAACACAAGACAAGGAGATGCACAAAACTAGAACACAAACACATACAATATATCTAAAGAAAAAAATATCATCCTGGCAGTATACAGAGAATTCTGAACAGCTATATATTTGCAGATTATTACCATCTCTAATGACATATTTCTGGTGTTGTGAGATTGACTATGGAGTTCTGTGATCCCACAAGTTAATACATCCCGTTCCCACAATTTAGTTTGGATGATTTTTTTCCACTCCTGCTCTTTTTTTTGTTGTTGATGATGATGTTGTTTGTGACTGAGCATCAGTATACATAATGAAAGATATTCTCTTCATAAAATTCACTTTGCCCTTATCCTATCCATTATAGCTACCATGTACTAGTTTGGCACAAATAACAGCTTCCTTGGAATTAGCTAGGTTTCATTAGCAAACCAGTGACACTTGATCCCCAAACCCCAGAAATCTATCGCAGTGGTTTACTGTAGAACTAAATGGCATAGTAGGCAACACTTGACCCTGAGGGACTCCACAGGCAAACAACCAAGAACTGCCCAGGAGCAAAAGCTGAGAATGTTCCTTCAGGAAAGAACAGAACCACTGGAGAATACACCAACCCAGAGAGGCAATTCAGAAGAATACCATGATTGATGGTATCACAAGTTACTGAGAGGCCAGTAGAATCAATAGGTCCACACTTCTCTTGTCTAGTTTTAGTCATAGGTCATCCACCAAGAGGACCAAAGTTGTCTCCATCCCACAAATAGGCCTGAATCCAGAAAAAATGGATCTAGATAATCTACCTCATCAGGAGTTGAGTAGCCACCATTGTCACTCTAGTTTTCATCTCAATGATTTCAGAGCTGCCAGCTGCTTAGAAAAACAAGGAGAGGGTTTAGCTATTTTCCATGGTAAGAAATACCTAGGTGTCCACCAAACTGATCATTTCCCCATTCCAGAGATCAAAAAAATAACCTATCAAAGCAGCAGGAAAACCCCCAAGAGCTAATAGAAATCCAAATCCATAATCCTCCTTGGGCAGCCCCCATCCCTGCAGAGGTTCTGAGTCTTATCATGTCTAATCCTGATCAAGAGCTGATCTGCTCATGACAAAAAAACCTAGCAGAAAGCTCCTCCATTCACAAATCACTAACATCCTTCCATGAACAGAAAGCAAGGTCTAAAACATGCCTTGAGAATTAGTTGGATACTCCTTGGGACAGATCCATGGTTTTCATGGAATAAGATGACCTGGTTCACTCTGAACAGGATATCATCAGCATGGATAATTCCCTCGGTATCACAAGCTTCAGAGATTCCAACACCACCACAGAGCCAGCTAAACAAGAGATACTATTGGCAGCAGGGTGGCATTTGGCCAAGGGGATAGTATATAGATAGAACACTGCAACTCTACCTCTCTGTCCTCTTGCTGTTGCACAGAGAATCCTGGTAGTTAAAACTTATAGAAATTTAAAATAAAAATGAGTCTCATCTTACCAGCATACCTGCTACATTGATATTTTTCTCTATTAATACTGAGATTCACTTTAATAATTAAAAGCACTTATATCAACACATAATAAAAAAACAACAATGCTTTAGTCACATTGTCACAAGTTTTAGGATCCTGTCTCAAGGCATAAGTCTTGCTACAATTTGGCACATCCACAAAGGTACATTGTGGACAGTATGGTGTGTGTGTGTGTGTGTGTGTGTGTTAAAGAAACACTATTCTAAGCTGTGCATCAAACAACCAAATTATTTTCACTCAGTGTTTCTCAAGCTAAGAGCACATACTGTTGGGAAAAATAGCAAGAATATTTCAAACTACATTACAGGCAAACTATTATTATGCAATAGCTTCCTGGTCCCTAAATGGGAAACTACATTAAGGTCCTTTTCAGTAAACTCCTGCTTCCCAAAAGTATTGTATGGTGTGCCTATGGAAATTTTGGAGAGTTCCACTACAAGTAGTAAGCTGTGAAATACCTGAAAGAAAATCACCTGAAAGACTGAAGCTGGCAAATGATTCAAGATTTACCAAAAAAGAAAAAGAAAAGGAAAACATGGCATACCGAAACACACTAAAAAACAAAATGTTGGGAAGCACCCTGCATTGTCAATTACTAAATGCCCTGCCCTTCACCACTGATAATTAGGAGATGCCAGAGGCTCCAGCCATGCTCAAGTAAACTAGTGCATACAGGACTAGACAATGAAGGCATTCTGGGTGAAGTATAGATATGTAAGCGACAATGGAGAACATTTAATGAACCAAAACCTATGAGGTAATACATCCGTTAGTTAGTGTGATCACTTGCTTCTCTCTTAGGACAGACATAGATTATTCAGCTTCTTCAAGAGGAATACACCACGTCACTCAGAGGCTCACCACATTCCTCAAGCCCCATCCCGCCCCCCCATGTTGATTCATGTAGGAATCAATGATACTGCTAGGCATACTTTTCAAAAGATCATAAATTATTTTCGAGCTCTCTCCTCCCTGTGGCTTCCTCTCACATATTTATACATGGCTATCATATCTCCTCTCAGCCTTCTCTTCTTCAGGCTAAACATGCCCAGCTCCTTAAGCCACTCCTCATCAGGCTTGTTCTCCAGACCCTTGATCATTTTGGTCATTTTAGTCACCCTCCTCTGGACACATTCCAGCTTGTTAATATCTCTGTGGTGCCCAGAATTGGAGTTACAAGCTGGATAGATGTGGGGAATGCCGTGGGTGTAGCGTATCTGGATTTCAGTAAGGCCTTTGACAAGGTTCCCCATGACCTTCTGGCAAACAAATGTGAGCTAGGCACAACTACAGTTAGATGGATCTGTAATTGGTTAAGCGAATGAAGCCAGAGGGTGCTAACCAATGCTTCCTCTTTGTCCTGGAAAGAAGTGACGAGTGGAGTGCCACAAGCAGGGTTCTGTCCTGGGCCCGGTCCTGTTCCAACATTAATGATTTAGATAAAGGGTTAGAAAGCATGTTCATAAATTTTGCAGGCAACACCAAATTGGGAGGGATAGCCAATACTCGAAAAGGCTGAAACAGAATTCAGAACTATCTTAACAGATTAGAGAGATGGGCCAAAACTAACAAAATGAAGTTCAATGAGGACAAATGCAAGATACTCCACTTAGGCAGAAAAAATGAAATGCAAAGATACAGAAGGGGGGGAATGCCTGGTTCAACAGCAGGACATGTGAAAACGATACTGCAGTCCTCGTGGATAACAAGCTAAACATGAGCCAACAATGTCATGCGGCAGCAAAAAAAAGTCAATGGGATTTTGACCTGCATTAATAGGACTATAGTGTCTAGATCTAGGGAAGTCATGCTACCCCTCTATTTAGCCTTGGTTAGACCACACCTGGAATATTGTGTCCAATTCTGGGCACAACAATTGAAAGAAGATGTTGACAAGCTGGAATGTGTCCAGAGGAGGGCGACTAAAATGATCAAGAGTCTGGAGAACAAGCCCTATGAAGAACAGCTTAAAGAGCTGGGCATGTTCAGCCTGAAGAAGAGAAGGTTGAGAGGAGACTTGATAGCCATGTATAAATATGTGAGAGGAAGTCATAGGGAGGACCAAGCAAGCTTGTTTTCTGCTGCCCTGGAGATTAGGACGCAGAACAATGGCTTCAAACTACAAGAAAGGAGATTCCATCTGAACATTAGAAAGAACTTCCTGACTGAGAGAGCTGTTCAACAGTGGAACTCTCTGCCCCAGAGTGTGGTGGAGGCTCCTTCTTTGGAGGCTTTTAAACAGAGGCTGGATGGCCATCTGTCAGGGGTGCTTTGAATGTGATTTTCCTGCTTCTTGGCAAGGGGTTGGACTGGATGGCCCACGAGGTCTCTTTCAACTCTATGATTCTATGAATAGAAGCACTTCATTACTTAATACTACTTCCTAGAATTTGGCTTGCTTGGTACAATAATGCCTACCCACTTTCCATATCAAAGATAATGAGAAAATCTTGAGCAATTTAAAGAGGGACCATTAAGACATCTCACCACCTCCACCAATCTTTGCCCATACCACCTCAAAAAGTATGCACAGTTCCTCAAATTTTCCATTTATCATTTTTCCTCATAGTGATTCATATAGCCATTCTATTTTGACGCAGTTTACTTTAAAAAGGCATTCTTCTCCTGTTTGTTGCTATGTGTACATTTTTTAAAATACAATGTAGACAATGATATTAGTATAACATACTTTGAACGGTATGTGTCACTTTTAAATTCAAGCTTACCTAGGATTCAGATTTTTCCATAATATAATTTGGTAAAGAGATTTTTAAAAATCTTACCTGGATGGCTTTGAGAACTCATTGCTAGCAGAATCGAAATTCTTCAAAGAACTAGAACAGACAAGGTGGCTTCTATACTGACAATGTCGAAAAGGTATATCCCAGAGACATATTCATAGCCACCAAATAAAGGTCCATTCAGAAAGACATTTCATGCTGTAAAGTTCTGCAATCTGGTACAGGATGTTCAATTCAACTTGTTTTCACAATATAAGCCTGCAAAAGAGAAAAGGGAGAAAAATTATATATCTGGTGCCCTTCCAGAGGAACCTTTAGTTCACAATTTGCATTTCAATAACTACAGATATTTTAAAGAAGCAGGTAATCTGGTATCATTTATTTGCACCCCAGCAAGTAAAATGCAGAGATCCAAGGGATATATTCCTATTATAGTATTTTGATAACAATGATTCCATACACAGTTGTTGTTGTTGTTGTTACTATTTACACCCAGATTTTTCTCTCTAAAAAAGACTCAAAGCAGCTTATAGTAAAACCAATAGGATATATAAGAGCATAGTGATATCCCTTTACTGCTTCATAGTCATATTGTAAGATCATAACAATTATCATCTTTCAATCACACCTAGCTCCAGAAACATTCACACCTAGCTCCAGCAGACAAAAGTCCTTTGTCCCACCCTGGTCTTTATAAACCCATTTTCCTACTTCCAACAGACCTCACTACCTCTGGGGATGCTTGCCATAGATGCAGGCGAAACGTCAGGAGAAAATGCCTCTGGAACATGGCCACATAGCCCGGAAAAACTACAACAACCCAATACCATCTTTACTTTCTAAGAAAATTGCAATTTTATAAATAAAGTTGATATTTTGCCAATGATCAATCTTATTGTACTTTTAAAACAAACTATAGAAACTATATATAATCCAGTATGACAAGTCAACATGCTGACATGAAGCCTCAAGATGTCTCTTCAGAGAAAGAATTTAAAATAATAGTATCAACACAACTAATAGTTAATAATGATGACTGCAGTATTAATATTAATAGTCAGTAATAATGGCAAAAGTAACAGCAATAACTATAACAATAATAATGACACCACTATTATTTTTACTGCTATGACTAATAACAAGAGTAGTATTAATAGTAATAATAATAAAAACAACCTTTCTCTCATATTGTCCATTTTTGGGGTATTTGTTTTGCTATTCATTGTGGTAGGGTATTAGTACTCTTTGCCATATAAAGTTAAAACCACAAGTCTCATGATTCCATAGCATTGAACCATGGCAGTTAAAGTGGTGTCAATTAGAAGACTGTGTATTTCTCCAATTGTCTGTTTTTCCTCCCTGCCTGGACAGCCAATCACAGAGCAATGGATAGCAGGCGACTGGCTTCCAGTGGCCTCTGTTGATGAGCTCTGGGCTCACCAGTCTGGCAGCTGTCAACCAACTCCAAGATGGCAGCAGATTTAACAAAAAAAAATCAACATTGTGGGCCCTGCAGGGGTCCAAGAACTCCAAGTTGACAACCACTGTTTTAGAAGGTATAAGACTAAGTAAAAATTATCAAAAACCTTTTGGAGATTAATAGAAGGTCTCCCCCCCCCACACACACACACACACTTCTCCATTGTATTTTTCCTGCCACCCAATCATTTTCTCCCTCCACATGGCAAGGCTATGAATATTCCTCTCATCCTATCCCTAAAAAAACAAGAGGTGAATTCAACAGTACTGCCTTCCAGCATTCCTTGCACAAAGTTATTCTTCGGATGAATGGTAAAATATATTTCTCAACAACAGGCATTAAGATGTCAAACCTGAATCTCAAAGATTACAAGCAATTTTAATATATTGAGTACTGCTCTTTTGACAAGGATCCAAATCTAGACAAAAACATTAAATATTTAAGATTTATTGGGGCAGAGACAACCCTCAAAACACAAAGCCAGACATGCATTCAAAGCAATGGTTCAATAATGCTTCTATACTTTTTCCTACTCAACCTTTGATGCCTTAGTTCCAATATGAGAGGTGAGGTAAATTTCCCAGAAGTTTATAATTTGTGATTGGGTGCAATCCCAATGCAGAGAAGCATTATATCCGACCCTGGCACCTTTATTTAACTTCAATTTTTTAAAATAGTATCTTGAACTTTCCCTAGTACATCAAATTAAGGATAATATAAGCTGATTTCTACAGCTTGATATTTTCAGTATGTAGGAAAGCATTATTTGCTGAAAAACATCTTGATAGTTTGCCAAAAAATCCTTAACACTTCATTTTTAAATCTTCAATCTATCTGCAGTTATTTCAACATTATGCCAGCTTGTGCTACGTGCACAAACCGGAACAAGACCAAGCAAAGTCCCACTCCTCTCCGTATAGCCTCAGTTTACTTCACATCTTGGCTCATTACATACAGACTACCAACTGTGGCTTAAAATAAGGTGTTGTGTTGCTATTGTGCACCTCCACGTTGCTTCTGACTTATGACAGCCTTAAGATGAAGTCATCAAAGGTATTTCATGGCAAGATTGTTCAGAGGTGGTTTGTCTTTGCCTTCCTCTGAGCACAGCCCCCCTTCCCCTGGTCTGGAAGACTTCTGATGCTCCCCCCCCCCCAGTCTTCCCCTTCTTTGACAATTATATTGTTTCAAACCCCTAAATAAAAGGGTTACTCTTAACTCCTGCTTCTCCATCCCTTCCTTTGCCTTCTTGTGTCCTTTTCCTCCACTTCCACATTCCACAACCGCCTTGGCCACGGCTTGGGCCACATGGTCCATGTAATCTTCCCAGACTAAGTAACAGTACTTTCCTCCCTGTTTTCCTTCTCTATCAACATCAACCTTGCCCCAGTAACTATAATATGTACTTCCTCAAATTGCAGATACCGAGATCCAAAGTCCCTTCCCCAGTATCCGATGGATTGGTGTTCTGTGTTCCCTTCTTGCCCCTTCCCCAAGCTAGCCCCTCGCCAGTTTCCTCAGGCACCTCCAGCCACCTTACAGGCCTCAAGGTACACCCAAACTATGTTTTCCTTTATTTTCTCTTTGCTATTCATTCCTCTATCTGGTTTGTCCTCAGGCAACCCAACCTTTGCCCCACTAACCAAGAAACTGTGTTTGCTTTCCTACAGATACAGAAACCAGTTGTTCCTCCCTCTGTATCTGAAGATCCTTGCCCTATGTTTCCTCTTAGACTCCTGAACCCCATGAATTTGGAATGGCAGTTAATGGGACGGAGAAGATCATGCCCTGTTTTCCACAACAACATTTCTGCTTTCCTAGAGACGGATTCTTAATCTCTTCATCTTGAACAATATTTGCTGCTGGACATAAAAAAGGACAGTGGTGCAGAGTCATCAGCCCTAGAGATCAGGATTCATGATAACAATCTTCACAACAATAAAACTCCTGGGACTGGATAGTCCCCATTGTTTGTTCCTAAATTGGGACAAGGTATTCAGAACTCATTTCAGCACTTTTGTCTCCTGGACTTCCCCCAATCAGCCATTAGACAGAAAGAAATCTACATTGGAGGTGAGCGCCGTACTCCTTCCTCTACAGGAAGTCCCTTTTGATGTCATCAGGGTTCAGCCAATCACAGAAGAGCCGGCTCAGCTGGGGCGGGAGTGGAAATTTCAAAGTGTACTGTATAAAAATGTCTGGGTTTTTCTACAGCAATTTATCTCAGCTTACTTTGGCGGATTACCACAGGATGGCATCACTTTCAGCTGATTAAATAAACTACCTTGGTGGCTTCTTCTACAACTTAGTGAGATTTCTTCATTGGGAACATTATGTTTCCAGGAACAGCCCACAGCGGCCTAGCAGTTTGGATCTCACTATCCACAACTGCTCTAAATTGCTCAATTTCACTGAGGCTCCACAGTGTGACTTGTCCACAGTTGTCCAATGGGTTTCCACAGTTTAATCGAGATTCAATCTCTAGTCTCCAGGGTTGTAATTCAATGTTCAAATTGCTACACCACGTTGGCTCTCTTTATAGTTCATTTCTAACCCAGAACCATAGATCACAAACAAGTTGAAGGCACGTAACAGTTTGCATGCCTTCAACTGTATTATATGCAACTGTATTATATTATTATGTATTATATAGCTGTATATATTATATGTTACCTATATACAGTAACAAGTATACATGGCAATTGGTAGACCACAGATAAATATAATTTCTGGTTGTTTGAGTTACTATTAAAAGTTGGCCTAATACTATACCACATATTGTATCATATCATAAACTATGTATTGACTTGGTATTGATTGAAATACAATAATAAAAAGCAAATAAAATAAAATTAAAACAAACATAACCTAACGTAATACATGTATTTTAGTTTTCTTTCAGTATTATTTTTTTGCCAGTTGCTTGAGAGTTCCAACTGCTTGGGTTTGGGTTAACTGGGAATCTACTGTATTACACTGAATTTTTATATGCACACATACAAATGGTGGGTAACTGGTATCTCCTGGGGCTTGTTTTCAGGATATCCCCACCCCAGAGAAACCAAATCCATGGACCGCAAACCCCATTATAAGCATTGGCATAGTAAAAACAGCATTTTTAATATAAAATAGCTAAATCAAGGTTTCCTTTTTTTATTTTTTTAAAATATTTTCAAGCAACTGATACTATAGCTGTATTTTGTGTACATGCATGTGTATTACTAACAAAAATGCCAGCAGCAGGAGATTTTAGGATCAGATAACTAGTTGAAGAAGAACAGTTTGCTTTTTAGCCCAGAGGCCCAACAAGAAAAGCCAGGGAGAAATGGAGAGCAAACTGACCAGATAATGATATCCCTCAAAGCAAGGTACAATTGCAAAGAAAGCCTTGCTGCATGCCAGGGCTTGTAGTGCTACCCTCCGCTATAATCGATGATCCAGAACTGACATGTAAACTTCCAATCTCACCATCCAAGACAATCTTGAAGCTATCAATATATATTATTCAATATGGATATTTGTTGTCAATCTAGCATAGGAACATTACTTTTCCCAGGAACCACCATCCTTTTAATTTGGAAACGACCAGAGCCACTTGTTCACCAAAGCATACAAATAATAATAATTACAATTCTCAGATGAACTAATTGTAAGTGTGCACAAAACTAGAGCTTTAGCACACAAGTGTGTGACCTTCCTTAGAATGCTTACATATGTATACCGAGAGCTGTCCATCTGCGCATTAGCAGATACAATTCTTAAATTCAAATGGCCAATG